CAGCCATTCGCTCCAACCCCCCCCCCCCCCACAACTCCCCCGGACCCCACATAGCCTTTTCAGTTATTTAAGTTTTCGATTGTTGGATGTCATTAGACTGAAAAGATAAACTGTTCTGAACTTTCTTTCTCAGCTGGTGATTGTGTGTTGATGAGACCGTCTGATTCTGATAAGCCTCCGTACGTGGCAAGAGTAGAGAAGCTCGAGTCCGATCACCGGAATAATGTGAAGGTCAAAGTCAGATGGTACTACCGACCGGAGGAGTCTATTGGTGGTCGCAGACAATTCCATGGGGCCAAAGAGCTGTTCTTATCAGATCACTTCGATATGCAAAGTGCACATACCATTGAAGGGAAGTGCATAGTGCACTCTTTTAAGAACTACACCAAATTGGAGAATGTGGGCCCTGAGGATTACTTTTGTAGGTTCGAGTACAAAGCTGCCACAGGGGGATTTACTCCTGACCGCGTCGCTGTGTGAGTTTCTACTAGCTTTGCTCTGGAGCATGAGAGCTACATTTTGCATTTTTAGGTTTGAATTTGAAAGTTATGCTCGTAGTGTCTATTAACACCTGGATACTTTGGGATGTTTTGATTTTGAAGGTATTGTAAGTGTGAGATGCCCTACAACCCTGATGATCTGATGGTACAGTGTGAAGGATGCAAAGACTGGTAAACTGACAATATCGTAAAAATTTATTCCCTTTACACATGAACATGTCTTTTTTGCTTGTATGCATGGAAATCAACAAGCATAGCTCCATTTAATGTTCTAGTTGAACATAAAAGGATATCTTTATATTTGTAATTACTTTCAGTTTAGATCAAAAGCAGCAAAAAAGGGAAAATAAATGTACAGTCACATCAAAGGACTCAAAGCTTGAAAGGGAAACAAATAAATTGTTGCATCTTTCCCCAATTTCTCGTATATCAGCATATGGGGCAAGTTTAGTTGGTTCATTCATGCAGATTTTATCTTCTGAGTGGATTAAATAATTGTATTGCCTTTTTACTGTCCACTATCTACATTATCTTACTATTTCAATCAGGTGCACAACAAACATACATAAATATTTCTTTTTGCAGACTATGATATTTTACTTGCATTTCAGGTAGTCTTTTAGATGAAATTCCTTTGTGTATCATGTAAGCATGAAATGCTGATCCATTTAAATTCGAGCTGCGACTGCCCTTTGTTAAAAATCCAGTTGTGGTAAACTTAAATAAGAAATTTGAGTTTGAATGCTGATATCACCCACGTACGTGTATACATATGTACTGTACCCGTCTATGTCCATGTCATTGCTGAAGTGAAAACATTGTTGTGGGGCATAATTAGGTATATAGATACAATATTATATCATATGGAAGTTCCACCAGAATCTGGATTTGTTCCCAAGTGCCCACGAAGAGAACACATGGGTCCTGACAAGTTTACGTGAAGTTTAAAATGGTTGACTAAAATATCTAGATCCAATTGGTGTCTTTATATCTTAGGAATTGGATGCAAAGCTCTGATGGTGCCAGAAATCTTGTATGTCAAAGTTACATGTGGTTTCAAGGCTCTATGATGAGTTCAGCAATGCCACATTGGTTAAGCAATACTCAGGGCTGTATTGTTTATCTGATATGGCATGGAACTTGAAAGGAAGAGCAACTTCATCAGTGTGGTGTGGAGTGTGAATCAGGGAAAATGAAAATCTTCACATGTCTGTAATTGCCTTCATTGGCTTTGGGTGAAATGTCTGCTTTATTCAGCATCTTTACGTTAGGAGGTCTGAGTTGTCGTGGAGTCTGTTTGTCTTAGTCTAACTGTCCGTGTTATGATTATCTGATAACTGTGTCTATAAGAAAGTCTTCTCTTTTTCCTTGCAATTTTATTGCAGGTTCCATCCCTCTTGTATGGGTATGACCATTGAAGAAGCAAAGAAATTAGAGCATTTCTTGTGTTCTGACTGTTCCGCAGAAGATGATGGCAAACGTCCCTTGAGCTCATTTCATGTTTCACCACCTGTTGAGTCAAAGGTAAAATTTCTGTTACACACACTTGGTAACCTTTGACATGATAGTATTAGTATTATTTGCAGATGTTGTGTCTCAAGTTAATTAACCGACTGTTGTTGTTTGTGAGAGGGTAATGGTGATGGGTGGACTTTTTGCACTATGTTCTTATGTGTAGTCTGATGTTAGGATCATTCTGGACGGAGAAGGTTGCGCTCAGTAAGTGGCGCATATTTAGTCTGGTTACAACAACAACAACAAGCCCAGCGAAATCCCACAAGTGGGGTCTGGGGAGGGTAAAGTGTACGCAGACCTTACCCCTACCTAATGACGGTAGAGAGGCTGTATATTTAGTCTGGATATATCTAATATATCAGATTCTATTACAGTAAAAGAAGGAGAAGAGCGGACCTGAGAAGGAGTATCTCCTAAGTCATTATGTTACCTGCCATTTAATACACCGAGCTACTGATACAATCAACAACTAGTGATCAAACTAAGCTGGTTTCACACTCTCGTTGTCGAGTTCCCCGAAGGAAAGAAATAGGTTCAAAACATGGATGACCCGAGGATGGAGAATGTTGCAAGTTTTAGGCCTATGTGACAGCTTGGATAATATGAACTTAGATCCTGCTGAACAATGTTATACTTCAGATAGGTTCTCCATAGCTAACAAGTGGGAGTACTCAAAATACCTATGTAGCCCGAACTCTCTGAAAATGTCAATGGGTGCATTTCGGATCCTCCAAAAGTAGTACAACTTTGAAGGATCTGACACGGGTGCAACAACATTTTGAAGTGTCCACGCAACATAGCAAAATACTGACTCTTAGTAGTAAGATAGCCTTTAGTGTTAGGAACTGCTTTCACTGACAATAGAAGTACATTGGTTGGGTAGAATCTCACTAGGTTTTACCAACATAAAGAAAATTTCCTCTTTCCCTTTTGAAGTGTCATTTGGCTGGACTTGGGTATGAGGTATGACATGAAGATACGTTATAAAAGTAGGTACAAAGCTGAGATAAAGTTAACGTTTGAGATATCTGTAACTTTAACTAGTATAGGTCTCTAGTATCACATCCGTGTTGCCTTAATCAGTGATTTTTTTTGATGAAGTAATAATAGATTTCAATGCTGGCATCAAGAAGATGCATAATAATACAAAAGTTATGGAAGCAAAAAAGACCTTATTGGCTCAATTACAGAAAGACTATTCTAGTACCAGGGAGCTAGCGAAGTTCAAAAAGTTGTCAGGAGAATCTAAGGGGGAAAGGCAATGCAACTATAAAGATACAAAAGACATCTAGCCTTGAGGGAATGATTTGGAGTTGATGAACCTTCAAAACATCTGTTGTTCCTTTCTGACCTTAATCAGTGAATTAACTATGCCTCAATCTCAAACTAGCCACTATATCATCCTGTATATTCAATTTAGAGGATTATCATTGCTAGACTATTTTTCTGGTGGCCGTGAACCTACCTCAACCCTCTAAGTTACTGGAAATGCTCACATAAGAGAAGTTACCCTTAGTATTCGCGTTTTCTTAGTGTTAAGGTATTTGGTTTTCTTTTATTAGCGTTAAGGTCTTGGAGAAGGATCTAATAAGGTGGGGAAAGGAGGGGGGGGGGGGGTACTCTTCTAGGAAATGACAATGTATTCGGAATGATTCAAAAAAAAAGTTGGGCAAATACATGTTACATTAATCTAGGAGTATTCTGGAACTCTACTTCCCTACTTTTGTATGATGATGGGTCATTTGGTTTTCAATCAAGCTTGTGAGTACTGTATCTGATTCTTTTAGAACGTGTGTGATAACTTATTTGGAGATATAAAAAATTCTAGTAGCCTTTTGGGTCGTCGTCTTTTTTACTGTACTTTGGAAACGATGTAAATTGTTGCAGAGGTCTTTATAAAAAAAAAGGAAGAATTGTTGCAAAGGTTAAATCTCAAAGACGAATTCCTAGATATTGTTCTAAGCTTCTATGCTGTCTAGAGAGTTGCATATTACTTTCATTTATTCAGCTTTAAATTTGCATAAAATATGTAGACTCTGTAAGCTTGCACTATCAGAATAAAATATGTAGGCTTTGTATAAGAGGAGTTAATTAAGCAGTAAACTTCTAACTCAAACGTGAGGCTTCAATAAGCTTTTGATGTCATAATGATATCAGGCTGCTCTAGACATCACCAGCAAAAGTTCAAGGAGTGGTCGTCAATAAGTGATGATCATGTTATATGATGTTTTGAGGTGCATATAATCCATGCATTTCATTACCACTTCCTACAAATTCTCACCTTCTGATTCTTGAGATTCCCATAATGTACCCTGGGACAGTTTTGAAGGGATTAACAAGATAAATATATCTACTTCAAAAGTTTTTCAGTTAGCGTAGTACTGTTGGTGTGGTTATTCATATTTTATAAGTACGTTTGGCATGCAACTCGTATATGGGGCTCGACCTATCATATCAATAAAGTATTAACTTGTAGAATGTTCTATATGTTGTTTAATTCATTTCTTGAGTTGCTTCGTGTAATGCCTTATTTGTGCACTCTTCTTCCTTCTTCATATATTTTTTCTAAAGTCGAAGGGGTATCCAATATTTTATAGCTGAGGGATCTCAGGAAGTTTGTATGTCAATAATTTTGGAGAAAAGGAATCACTGAGAACTTGCAAACCACGTTGGCAAGACCTCGCATCTCTCGTCTTCCCTCCCCCTAACCCTTTTGGCACAGAGAGTTCTGAACCAATGCTTGTCAAAGTTGATTTTAGATTTGGCTCCTGTGCACTATGAGACTCGAGTTTCTTAAGGTATTGGGTTTGAGGTAATTGATGTCGATATTCCTTCCTACATGGTATTTTATGTAAGAATTAAGAGGGAAGAAGAGTAGATTACACAGTGACATTTAATGTAGGGAAAATGCCAGATTTGTCCCTCTACTTTAGGAAATTATCCACGTTTATCCCTAGTTCTACTAGTTCTACTATCCGTCCAAATATGTCCCAGTCCCACCGTTAAGAAAGTAAACAAATTCGCCCCTAACACTAACAGAGTTCCGACATGGCACCGGGACCCTTCTCTTTGACTGCCAACTAGGCTAATTTTCAACCCTAATTAAAAAGAACCGTTCCTAGAACTAGGGACAAATGTGGATACTTTCCTAAAGTAGGGAGAGGGATGGCTGTTAATGGGACAAGTAAACATGGGGGTTGTTGATTGACTTCTCAGGTTGTTGATTCAAATCTCCTATCGTCCTGTAACAGCAAATGTTTGATAGAAATGGTTGGTAATTGGGGTAATATGAGTGGCTGACTGTTAGAAGGAGAGGCGGATATGGGGTGAGAAGAGAGATAAGTTGGGCATGGGAATTGGCTGAATAATCATGTTGAGCTATTTATTGAAATATTACCTGCTGACGTGTAGATAGGAATTAAAAAAGACTACATATGCATCCATGTACATCTTTCTATGTGCCTCAAGTCGCATCGTTTTATTTTTGATAACTGAGAAATCAGCTATTTTCAACTTTCAAACTCGGTCGATAAGGGCCCTTCACCACTGTCAAAGCCTGAATTTGAACTCTCGACCCTTATGTACTACCCACAATGCATCATGACAATGCTATCATTGAAATCTTAGCTCTTGTTTGTAATCTTGATTATAGTTTATCTGTAGTTGGCAACCATTTAATCTAAACTGTCAGTATTCCCATTGCTAGGTGGAGTCAAAGCGAAGGAAGAGATAAATAGCTGACCTTGATGCAGTATGAGGAGGTACGCATTTTCTTGCGTACTAGCTCTGGCATTGTTGTATGTGTTATCAAATTGTTTAGCACTGAGAGAATACTATCCTTTTTCCAAAAGCCAGAGACACTTCTTTATTCACTGTGGTAACTTGCTATTTATAAAAGTTTGTGCACTAGACTGGTTGTCAACTGAATGCAAATTGTGTGGCCTAAATGAGTAATAACTGGATATTGCCGAGTCTATCAAAAGATGAATCTTAAGTGGTAAAAGTATCATAAACATTTTAAGTCTAGGTGTCTTTTTCTATGTTCATTTATTTCATAATTATGACTTTCCTCTTCCTGTGTCTTCCCTTATTGTTCTTGAAAAATGTAGAAGTAGGATTTCTGGGTTAGATGGGAAGCTGGATGTATGATGACAAGCCTCTAAGAGCTGATCAAGAATCGTACTGACGAATAAGAACTTTTCCCGTTTGCGAGTTGCAATATCTGGAGTCCTTATTTCATAGCGCTATAGCATTTGCTCTATCTATATCTTAGATAGCAAACAAATTGATTTAGTTGCTCTATCTATATCTTAAATAGCAAACAAATTGAATTAGCACTTCTCAGATCAGGCTAGGTTAGCCTCTCAAGCGAAGTTGGGGCGCCGAGGCCATGTATGCGCTAGCAATTGGTACATAGGAGCATGCAATATGCAGATGCATATTGAGTTGGTTAAAATTGGTTAAATGAGTTGTGATCTAATTCAATTAAATGTTCATGTGAATTCGTCGACCGATGGTGATCTCTTGATCTCTGTCCTGACAACATGCTTGTAAATTAGTGCCAGAGAGCTTGCTTCATCGTCTGAAAATAAAGTTATTTTTGCTACTTAGTTGATTCTCTTAATTGATATTTGTGTGCGTGCGCGCGCCAGTTTCTATGGAATATGTATAAAGAAGGGAGTTGGGGGAAGAGGGGAACGAGCATGCTAAAAAAATCATACAAGTTGGATCTGAGGAGATTAGTGTGTACGCAAATCTTATCCCTACCTTGAGAAAGTAGAGAGGCAGAATTTCTCCATTCCAATGACTTAAATTGATGCAAGATATTATTATTTTCTTTGAGATTGCAATTTGAGTAGTAATTACACAATTTGGTTTGTTTGTCTGATGATGTAATTACTTGGTCTAATATATAGTCTATTGTAATTGAAGAAGTGCGATCATACTGCAGTTTCAAGGAGAGTGGTTAAGAATTGCTAACAATTGCATGCTATTGTAAATACATTTTAAAAAGGCAATTTTTCAAATTTCTGTCTTATATTTCTATTTATAAATATAAACTCTTTCTTAAACATAATTTTTTGGCTATTTTTGGAAAATGAAGTACATGTTGAATTTTTAATTATAGTGACAAGATTTGGTCAAATAATGACATTTGGAATTGGATCTCTGACTAACAAGTCCAAATCAAAACTCAAATATAATTAAACAACAACAATTACGTCAAGTTGGGATTGTTTATATAAATTCGCACTTGTTTGTATAAAAAAAGGTTGGTTTAAATTTTTATATTCATTTTAGAAAGTAAAAAAGTATCTGATAATGTAAATTCCGCTTGCGAACAAATATCATGTTGAGTAGCTACCTTAGGAATCAGCCAATAACATTCATCATATTGCAACACCCTGTGAAGCTTTCCAACTTTGCACCAAATTCCTCATAAGAATTATTTAGAGCGTAAAAAGTAGTCATTATTTAAATAGGAAATTGATAATAATAATAATAATAAACCTATTGTATGAAGAACTTTACCTCTATCTTGGTATACGTTTTTTTAAAACAAGTATGAAAAATAAAAAAGCCAAGATGAAAATACGAAGAAAAGTTAGAATGGAAAATTCACGACTATCAAATTGATGTGTAGAGTTAAAATTACAGTAATTATTAAACGTGATTTTGATAAATCCCAAAACACGATATATCCATTGATTACATAATCTACAACTCATTCGTCGGCAAAAAACCAGAATAGAAATATTCAGATAAACAAAATAACAAACATCTACCTATGATGTCATTAACATAGAATTTTGTTTCTGCTGATGAGCTTCACGCCAACGTTTGTGCAGCTTCTCTTTGGACTCAATCAATTCCTTCTTTTTGGACTTCAACTTTGACAAAATTTGGGGCAAAACATGTTTCGGATCTTCCTTCAGTCTTTTTATAACAAAGAAACTTTGTTCTTTGTATTCTTTCCTAATGCAACTGAGACTCACATCACTAAAATAATTGTCAACAATATCAATAATCTGATGCTGTTGCGTTGAGTCCCTCAAGATATTCATTAAAGCCTTTGCAGATTGCACAGTTGTTCTCATACGTGACAAGTGAACGTCAATTTCAAACATCTCATCTTCCATTCGCATGTAAATATTTCGTTCCTCTGCAGTTTTCTGCCTTTTGGCTTTGATTTCTTCACTACTACTACTTGGTGAAGATACATTCTCTTCCTCCCTTTTCCTCTTCTTAATTTTCAAAACTGACGCAAACTCATCCATCAAATCTTGGTTTTCATCACCAAAGATTTTCGCAATTGTATCATAAGCCTCGTTATTCGAAAGTTCACTCTTCGTCAAAGCCTTGATGATCTTCAAGTATGCAGAAATAACACCTTGATTATGAGCGAATCGTTTCTCCAATATGTTCTGAAAATTTAATGCAAGATTTTAACTTGTCCATATCTGCAACGACAATATTGTTGTTTTCGAATTGTTGGAAAGACAAGAACATAGGACATCCATATAGCAAATCGTCGTGTCCTTTGAACAGTGTCTGCAACTCTAAAGCAGCAGTTGGTCCGTCCAACTTTCCTCTAACAAAACTACTAAGGAGTCGAAAGTAGGAGTTGTATAAGTCAGGGTGGGACATTACACGCCGATTGAAGGAGATTGCTGCGCCATCGCTAACCGTGTTTTTTTTTTCTATAATAAAAGAAGAGTTAGATTGTGAGGGAGAGAACGAAGCTTCTCCAGATTATATAGAGGAACTCAATCCTAATTACTCTAGGAATATGTTTTATAGGTAGGAAAGTCTAACAACTCAATCCTAAATACGCTAGGAATAGGTTTTCTTAATTAACTTGGTTTGACTTGTATACACGGATTTACAATAGCAGATCATTCAAAACCAATTAAAAGTAACGAAAAAGGGTAAGTAAACTATTTATTCATTTAGTAAATTAGTTACTAAGAAAATATGGACATAGTTGGATGAATAATGACAAACTGACAATTCTAATTGCTTTAACCGGAGCTAAAGATATTCAGTTATTCCATCTAAATTGATATTGAAATCATGTTTTTCATTCAATAAAGCTGGTTGCCTATTTTACTACAATTTCATGTACATTTTTATATTGAAATTAGATGCAAAGTTGTTAATTAATTTTTTATTTTTGGTTTTTGCAAATAAACTTCTCTCAAAATTTTGATAATCTTATTTTATTTCTTACAAGAGAAACGAGATATTTTTGATAAACGCTTCTCAGGCGTAATTTTAGTAAAAATAGCACGGGCTAACCAGTTTTCGGACTGGTCATTAAAATAGCCAGCGTTTGCAAATTCATTGAGAAATAGCCACTATTTTGCTGCAACACGGAAAGTTCCAGCATAATATACTAGAGAGCGGTGCACCTGTGTATGAACTTCCAAGCATATTATGGTGGAACTCCAACACGCAGAAAGTTCCAGCATAATATATTGGAGATTGGAGCATCTGTGTATGAACTTCCAGCATATTATGCTTGACCGATATATTATACTGGAAGTCCAGTATCTTATACTGGAGTTCCAGTATATTATATTGGAATTTCAATATATTATGCTGGAGTATTTTCCGAATTTTGAATAGTGTTTTTATTCAGATTTATCTTTACATGAAAAGTGGCTAAATTTCGATTACTTTTGAAACTGTGGCTATTTTTGAATGGCCACTTATAAATCTGGCTATTTTTTAATTTCTCCCGCAATTTCATCACGGAATTAGAATAGTTTAATTGATTGGTTTAACTCAACAAAATTAGATCGAATTTGTCATACCTTTTTTGCTCTTTTTCCTTGTTCTTCATATACTTTTTCTAAGTGAAAGGCGTAGCCCAATCCATTTTACAGTTGAGGATCTACAGTACTTATAAGAGTTGATCAAATGACGGAGGACAATGGATAACAGTATCTAAAAATGGGTTTGCCTGATATTTAATAGTTGCAGCTGTTTGGACGTCAGATGTATGTATTTTGATGCCATATCGTATACCAAGGTATTTATCTTACCACAGCAACATGTAGTATTGGTGACATTTGCAACTCAATATGCAATAAACAAAAACTTAGCTAATGGAAAGTAGAAAGAAATTTCTGATTGCCTCTCAACTTCAAAATATAAATTCATCAGTAGGCTCCAAGAAAAACATCAGCTAGCCCTGGAAGTTACTTTGTGATTAGGAGTGTGTATATAGTTTAAGTAGAGAGGTAAAATCAGCACGGTTCTTGGTGTAACTGCAGCAGATATAACATAAAATGTGTAACCAGCTAAAGTTTCTGGATTACAACTGAATTGGCTAGGCCGGCTTGCTCTATTGTCTGGTCCAGATCTGACAGTTGTTTGGGAGGAAAGCCTACCGTCTGCAGTTGATAACTCCTTGGTCCTCCAGGCCTTGATGCATCAATAAACCCTCGAATATCTCTGATTGTGTGTTGGAAGTTAAACCGAGAAACCATTCGTGTACCATCTGCCAATCTCAGTTGAATTGAGGTTGACGGCTGCGATTGATCAACAACTAGGCCCACTGATGGGGTTGGAGCTACGGTGAATGATGAGACAGCACCAATTGACTCAACTTGTTCAGCATTGCTGGTGCTACCTAAGGTTCTTCCCACACCCTGAAATGTAGCACGACGCTTCTCTGGTACCTGCAAATAAGACCAAATAAGAAATAAAAGAAGAGCCACTGTGAAGGGCAAAGATTTTTAGCAGCATAATCGAGACCCTTTGCTATTAGAGGAATAAGGACGTACAGGGCAGTCCTCCTCTCTCCTTGTCAGATTAACTCGCACAGATGTCCTCCTATCTTCTGGCTCAAGTTCTTTTGGGCATTCAGACTTCCGGATACTCTGAATTACAGATACCAAATATTAAGAGCAACTCTGGAGACAGAGAAAAACTACAAAGCAAAAGCATAAACAAGCAAAGCTCATATTGGTTGGTTCTGCCTAACAAGAAGATCATAAAATTACATAAGAGATTTATCCAATTCCAACAAGAAAAAAGTCTTGTGAAACGGTTATACAGAATATCAGAATTTAGAGCACTCTGCCCAAAAAAAAGGGAATAAGAATTAAGAGCTTAATTCACTGATTTAAGTTCAACTAGTCAGAGCCATCACACAAAAGAAAAGAAAAGGGTTAAACTTGGGGATATTATGTTTTTACTTTTCCCTATGTGGGGATTGGAGAAAATTGTAGACGACATATATGTTCCAACATGAAAGTTGCAAAACAGTTTCATGATTAAACATGGCTAGGACACAACAAATGCTTCTCGATATATGCTTCTAGGGAGCACCTAAGACACCCTCAAATTTATTTCTTCAGCTCCTTCCGGTGAAAGATCATGGACTAAGGAAATTCACTACTATTGTTGCAAACTTTCTTCCATATCACTACCATACACGTGATTACCTTCTCTACACATCATAACACTTGAATGGTCTGTGTCCAATTAAAGTCCACTACTTGTTACTTGTATTTAAAATTTCTCTTTCCGAGATGAGTTTCAGTTAGTCACTAACTTTAATCTGAGGATGTATGTTGGACACCACGATTAGGACTATAACATTTATGTATAACTAGAGGTCTGAGTCTGAAGCGCTTGAAAGCAAACAAAATGTAAGGGGTGTTTTGGCGGAGGCTTTTTTATGAGGGAAACCATGAATTCAATTCTCACACATAGCTACAGGAAGTAGGAATATAGCTGACGGAGTAGGAGAAGCCTGCATAATGTAAAGACTGCTTTTTGGAACCTACAACGTGCCTCTTTTTTCAATTTTCCACATGCACAATACTTCAAAAGTGAACAAATTTCGAGTTGTACAAGATAAACAGTAAGCACAAGGAATCCTCTACCTACTCCAAAGGTCATTCTATATGATAATTCCTAATAAAACCCTTGAGTGGGTCTCCGTGTAAAGTATCTCTTTTTTGTGAAGTTTTTGTGTTCTATAGTCTGAATAATGCCATCACATTAACTAGTTTAAAATGGAGGTTTTGACTATTGAAACTGCAAGATCCAAGTTGTGCCCAAAGACCTATCTCTTGCACAAGGTAATATTGGACATAGCCTATTTTAAAATGCGAAGTTGAATTGATTAAGCTTTGGTTGAGTTATGGTTCATCTCAGTTCAACTAAAAAAGTAGAATGGCGCAAATTTTATGAGACCCTATTTTAACAAACGGAAGTTTAGTTGACTTGGCTGAAGAGAACCACAATCTGTATAGTGAATATAAAACCATAAAGATGAAGAACTACAGGTAACATTCAAAAGGTAAAATCAAGATTGACATTACCTCTAAGAAAGAGGCATTTTCTGGATCATCGAACCTCCGCAAGGGCCCGTCATCTATAGTGAACCCATTGATCCAGAAAGTGATAACATGAGTAATACTCTCAGGTGGCTGAGGAGCAGCAGACACAGTCTCACCCGTAAGTCTTCTAGCAGTTCCAGAAAAACTTCTAGAGCCAGAAGACGCAGGAGGTGCTTCAACAGCTGCATATTGTCTAGCTTGATCGAATATTGCATCCACATTATTTGCTTTAGATGGATCTTGAACAAGCATTCCACTACAAAAAGACTTTGATCAGCAAATTACTAATGAAAGTGCACACTGCATCTCCACAATACAAGGCTGAATAGTATTCAAGTGTATCAATGTAACAGAACATCATAAGAACCAGGAACTACGCAATTAAAATGCTTGCATTCTCCGTCTCACAACAACAGAACAAGAAATTGGATGATGTAATACAGTGAAAGATGAAGAGAGAACCTGTAGTTAAAAGGATCTCCATATGCTCATGGACCAGAAACAAATCCTTATACAGCACTGCATGTATAATTTTTTTGATAACGAGAACCGCATGCTTAATCTTTCATATTCCAAATTTTTTAGAAGTACTTAAATACATGAACAAATCATAAAGCCCCTTAAACCCAACCTCAACCTAAATCGTGAATCTCACGACATCATAATCATAGGAATACTTCCAATAGTTATTTATTTATTTGATGACCGAGAAATCTGTCTGGGCCCAACCATTAGGACCAACCGCAGCCTTCTCCACTTAAAATACCAGGCTTAGTTCGCATGGTGCAGGAGCAGGACTCAAACCTGTGACCTAAGGTCATTAGTCCAGTAGTCCCTCAACCTTGACACTTGATTAAGCCATGGGGGTAGGATATTTCCAATATTTACACCACCAAGTGGCGAAAACATGTCATATAGGACACGCTAGCAGGAAAAGCACATTGAACCCACAAATTAGACCCGACCCCATACTTCAACAAAATTTGAACCTGATGGTGTCTCAACTCTTTACTCTTATCACCTCCTTCTTTAACTAATAGGCCAAGGGTCCATTGGCTTAGAGCAAAAAGTTACAAAGCACAAACATGTTACATTGATAGTGATAAGCAACTATATAATGCAACATTATGATTTCATGATACATAATGCAAGGTACCCAAGGGTGTGGCATGGTCGCGGAATGAAGATTATGGAAGACTAGGAACCAAATCCTAGCAAAGGCAAAAAAAATAAATGATTTTGTTCTAATCCACCTAAGCATTGGTAGGTGAAGTTACCCGGTACCAAGGGGGAGGATGCAGGTAGCCGATTGCATAGTCAAGGTGATGTTTTCACATATTCCTCGAATTATTGCCTCAAATTTCTCCAATACTAAATTCAAAATTATCATACTCAAACACTTTCTCCAATATTTAATCAAAAACAGAAGTATAACATAAAGACAATTACTTTATTACTAAATATGGAAGAAGCAGTAGAAAACCAATAGTAAAGTAGCAGCAGCAGTAGCAGTAATACCTTTTTTCTCCACCGGTATAATACTCTTGATGCTCATCGGAGTCACTACCAGAACCAGTAACAGGCCGACGATTCAGATCAGAGAAAGTGTGAATTCCACCAGTTCTCCGCCCAGCAGCAGCAGCAGCAGCACCGCTAGAGGTAGGAGGGTTTCTAGGTCGAGGCGGAGACGGGGATCGGGAGCGCGATGGAGAACGGCGTTGGTCAGCGGCGGCGGAAGCAGGGGCATCGTTGTAATCCTCGTCAGCGGCGGCGGCGGGGAGAGTATTGTTCTCGAAGAAAGTGGAGACGGCGGAATCCAAATCGAAGTTGTGGCTTTCGAGGAAGAAAAGGGCTTCGGGTTTTGAAGCAGAAGTGATTTCACAGAATGTATTGACGAGTGCTTCTCTTTGTGGATCGGCGGAGAGATTTGCTTGATTTTCCATCTTTTTCTGCTGTTGCTTCTTCGTCTTTCTCTCCTTCTGCTTCTACTAAGAGTACTAGTATGTAGAGGCAGAGTTTGGTATATATTCCTTTCTTCAGCCAAAGTTGGAGAGTTCGAGTCTCTTTACAATTGGATTTATTATGACTTGTAAGGGAAGAAAAGCAAAAACGTTAATATAAAAAAATAAATTGTAACGACCCGACCTGTCGTTTGGAGCCCTAGCGCGTCGTTCAGTAGTTTGAGGCCCTGAGTAGCTTCACTTCAGGCATTATGACTTGTACGCATGGTCGGAATTGAACTCCGGGAAGTTCGGAGTTGATTTGGAAAGTGAATTCTCATTTCGGAAGCTTTAAGTTGAAAGAATTGACTGAGATTGGATTTTTGAGTAAACGACCTCGGAATCAGGATTCGAAGGTTCCAATAGGTTCGTATGATGATTTCGGACTTGGGCGTATGTCCGGATCGAGTTTTGGAAGACCCGGGAACGTTTCGGCACCTATTGTGGAAGTTAGCATTTTTGGAAGAATTTCATAAGTTTGGGTTGAGGTGCATTTCAGTGTTATCAATGCCCGTTTGGGGTTCCGAGTCTGGGAATAGCTCCGTATGGTGATTCTGGTGTTGGGAGCGCGATCGGAAGTGAATTCGGAGGTTTGTGGGTTATTTTGGAGTCATTTGGCTAAAGATAGAAGTTTAAAGGTTTTTGAGAAGTTTGATCGGAAATGGACTTTTTGATATCGGGGTCGGATTCCGATTTCGAAAGTTGGAGTAGGTCCGTAATGTCGAATATCACTTGAGTGCAAAATTTGAGGTCAATCGGATGTGATTTGATAGGTTTCGGCATCGAAGGTTGAAGTTTGAATTTCTCAAGTTCATCAAGTTTGATTTGGGGTGAGATTCGTGATTTTAGCGTTGTTTGATATGATTTGAGGCCTCGAGCGAGTCCGTAATGTATTTTGGGACTGGTTGGCATGATTGGATGGGGTCCCGGGGGTCTCGGGTGGATTCCGGATGGTTAACGGATCAATTTTGGAGTTTGAAGAAGAATGGAGATAGCTGATATCTGGTGTAACCGCACCTGCGAGGTTTTGGCCGCATGTGCGGAGCCACAGAAGCGGCCAAGGGGTCGCATATGCGGTTTGGGCGAAGGGGTGCAGGGACCGCAGGTGCGGCACTTTAACCGCAGATGCGGGAGCGCACCTGCGTCGAGGAGACCGGAGAAGCGATTTTTGGCCCTGAGCCTGGGATCGCAGAAGCGACACGTGCGCCGAGAAGCGAGGGCCGCAGGTGCGGAAAGGCTAGAGGCAGTGTGTTCTTTTAAAATCGGGAGATGGTTATTTTTCTCCCATTTTCATTTGGTGTGGGCGACTTTGGAGAGCTTCAAGTGGGGTTTTTTCATCATCAACGACAAGGTAAGCTAACCCCACCTATCTTGAGTTAAATATATTGATTGTGTATGAATTTTAGCATGTAATTTGGTAGAAATTTGGGGGTTTGAGGAAAACCTAGAAAATTCGTATTCTTGGACTTTAACCACGATTTTGGTCATGGAATTGAGAGTAAATTATATATTTGAGTTCGTGAGGTTATGGGTAAACTTTATCTTCGAAAGATTTCGAAATTCGGGCACGTGGGCCCGAGGGCGATTTTGTCAACTTTTCGATCGGGGTTAGGAATTTCTATAAATTGGATTATAATGAGTAGTTGATCTCATATTAATGGGTTTACATAATTATTGGCTAGTGTTGGAGCATTTTTGCATCGATTTAAGTCTTTGGAAGGGCGTGGATTGCCGGTTATGGAACTTCGGAGCGAGGTAATTCTCCTTTCTAACCTTGTAAGAGGGAATTGTCCCCATAGGTGAGTTAATTAGTTATGTGCTCCTATTTGTGAGGGCTACGTACGCACGAGGTGACGAGAGTCCGTGCGTAGCTACTATTATGTTTAAGTCCGGGTAGTCTAGGACCCAAAAGCATGCTATACTTGGAATATTTGTAATCTTATTGACAGTTTGAATTGCTTAAATCACATCGAATTAGTAAATGAATTTCTAAAAAGGATTAAACTTCATTTCTTTGAATTGTTAAAAGAGAATTGGCTTTTCTTTGGATAAATTGCTCCTTGATGAGTTCTTGATTGACTGTTTGAATGTGTTTATATACTGTGGAACGAGCCGAACGCCTCGATAGATTAAATAGATGCATCTATGGTTCGCGCCATTCGACCCTCTAGCAGTGCACAATTTAAATATTGTTGGATCGGGCCGTACGTCCTCGACTTGATTTGCGCATGCTTGTATTGCTTGCCTTGCAGTTTACTGAAGTTGATATTGCTTCTTCCCGTCTTGAGAATATATGTATAAATGATGAAAAAGTAAATTGGAAATTTTTCACATAAAAGAAAGAATTATTTACTTGCTTCACTCTATTGAATTACATTCATGTTCATATAAACCCTCGACTTGTTATATTATTGATGTATCATCATTGGACCACTAGTAAGTGTCGAAGTCGACCTCTCGTCTCTACTTCTTCGAGATTAGGCGGGATACTTACTGAGTACACGTTATTTTTGTACTCATGCTACACTTGCTGTGCATTTTTGTTGCACGGGCACATGCATCTCAAGCGGCCTAGTGGGCGTAGCAGCATGGCTGACACGGAGACTTAGGTGAGCTGCACTTCTCGAGACGATCCGCAGCCAGCAGAGTCTCTTTCAGATTTCCATATTTACTTTCTATCCTATTTGTATTCCGGGCAGTTGATGTATTATAGTGTTTCCTAGAGATAGCACATGCACTTGTGACTCCGGGTTCTGGGATATCTATGGGATTAGTCGGTATTGAAACTGTTAAAGATAGCATTATTTATTCAGTGAAATTTATTCTTTATTGTTTATATGTATAAAAGAAGTGAATTCAGAAATATTTAAAACGAGAAGTTACTAGTTATTTAGTGTTGGCTTGCCTGACAATAGTGTCCGGCGCCATCACGACCCTTAGTGGATTTTGGATTGTGACATAAATAAGAAGAGAAAGTTTTTTCTTAATTAGTGATTTCTATTTAGGATATTTATTTTTAAACGTATAGAGATCGGAGTTTGTGAAGGATTCATAGATAAGTCAATTAATTTATTTTACTTTTCGCAAATTAATGTGCATGAATGTTTTAGATAATAGGGTTTCAAATAATATGGTGTCAAGTTTTATAATATTTAGCAGTGCACAAAATAGTCTAGGAATGCAATGCAAGATGGTATGTTTATTTAATCAAAATATTGCTTGACTAAGCAACTTTATTTAAATTTAAATTCAGATTGTAATTTTAGAAGCTCCTGCTATTTACAAAAGCTAAACATAATTTGGTACCCTCTATTAAGGGGTAATTTTTAAAAATAGCCAGATTTACAACTGGTCGTTCAAAAATAGCCCAATCTCAAAAGTAATCGAAATTTAGCCACTTTTTATGTAAAGATAAATCTGAGCGAAAACACTGTTCAAAACTCGAAAAATACTCCAGTATATTATGCTGGAGTTCCAGCATAAGTATACTTGAAATCCAGCATATTATACTGAAGTTCCAGGATAGTATGCTGGAACTCCAGCATAATATGATGGAGTTCCAGCATAAATACACTAGAACTCCAGCATAATATACTGGAGTTCCAGAAAGTATAATGGTCCAGTATAATATACTGGAGTTTGGAGCACCAATGCTCCAGTCTTCAGTATATTATACTGGAGCCAGCAAAGTATACCGATCCAGCATAATATGCTGGAGTTCATACACAAGTGCACCGAACTCCAGTATATTATGCTGGACCTGTAACGACCCGACCGGTCGTTTTGCATTTTTGAACCCCGTTCCCTTAAATAAGACTTCCCACACTTTCTTTAGCTAATTCATGACTTGCGGGGACGGGTGGTTCGGAAGTTAGAAGAGTTTTGAGCAAGAATAAGTTTAGCTGCTTCTTTAAGTTTCTTTAAAAAGGCCAAGTTTGACTTCGGTCAACACTTTGGGGAAACGGACCCGGAATCGTGATTTGACAATTTCTAAGGGTCCGTGGGAAAATATGGGACCTGGGCGTATGCCCGGAATCGAATTCCGAGGTCCCTAGCCCGAGTAATGAATTTTTATGTGAAATTGTTAAGTTAAAGTTTCAAAGGTTTAAATAAACTAAGAAATCATTGTTTTCCTAGGTATCGGGTTCGGATTTCGATTCCGAAACTTGGTACAAGTCCGAAATATCAGTTAAGACTTACCTGTAAAATTTGGTGTCAATCCGAGTAGTTTAAGGGCGTTTTGACCCGTTGGAGGAGAATTAAGAACTTGAAGTTCAATGATTTGATTCATTTGGTTTTGGGGTTGATTCCTCGATTTAGCGTTGTTTTGAGTGTTTCGAGGGTTCGAGTAGGCCCGCCTCGTGATTTCAGACTTGTCGGTATATTCGGGCGGGGCACGGGAGCCCCGAGCGTCAAACGAGCGAGGCTCGAGTGAAGTTAGAATTTGGAAAATGACTGAAGCTTGCTGCTTCTGTCATAACCGAATCTGGGGTTCTTGGACCGCAGAAGCGGGACCGCAGATGCGGTCATTAGTTCGCAGAAGCAGAGAAGGGGCAGGCCAGGGGAAACCGCAAAAGCGGCCCAGGGACCGCAGAAGCGGTTCCGCCTATGCGGCCCCCAGACCGCAGAAGCGGTCGAGCCCCAAATCCCAAAAGCCGCAGAAGCGGCCAAATCCCGCAGAAGCGGATTCCGCAGAAGCGGAAATACTTCCGCATATGCGAAAATAACTGGGGGCAGAAGGGTTCATTAATACGAACCCAAACTCATTTCATCCACATTACTCTCAACACTTAGGCGATTTTGGTGATTCCAAAGAGGAGGTTTCAACATAACATTGCAAGGTAAGTAATCCCCACTCATTTTTAGTTCAAATACATAAACATTAGGTAGATTTAACACTAAAAATTAGGTAAAATCAAGGGATTTGAGCTAGACCTAGGGTTTAATGAAAACTAAGGTTTTATCACAGAATTTGCCATGTAGTGAACTAGAAATCATATATTTGTGATCCTTAGGTGATAGAGAACAACTTCCTTCGAAAAATCTCGGAATCCGGGCACGTGGGCCCGGGGTCGGAATTTAGGAAACTTGTGTTAATGGTTAGAAATAGGATGAATTGAGACGGTATTTTGTAAATACGTAATTATCTTGAATATATTAACCATTTCTTTATTTTCCGATCGCCTGGAAGGGACAAAAGAAAGATCTTGTTGTTTCTTCAACAATTTCTGATCTCTAGTGAAATTGCCTAAATAGTTAGAGTTCGACTTGTAAGCCTTTATTTACTAGTTCTTACTTCGTTTGATTAGTTTGGGATTGTTCGGCTGCAAATTAAGGACTTGGGCTCGTTCTTGGACATTGGAAGTGCACTTTGGAGCGAGGTGAGTCTCCTTTCTAACCTTGTAAGAGGGAATTGTCCCCATAGGATTATAAATGAGTAATTGTTGTTAAATGCGGGGGCTACGTACGTACTAGGTGACGAGAGTCCGTGCGTAGCTACTATAATGATAATTGTTCGGGTAGTTTAGGACCCACGTCATGTCTAATTGGGGAATATTTCTTGTTTTAAATTGCCAATATGATCATTTATGATTTGCTAGAGACTTGAGGAAATGAAAAGTGAACTTATGAGTTTGTTGAGTCTTGGTAGGAATTCCCTTGTATGTAATTGAGCCTTATGTGCTTTCCTGATATTTTCTTGATGATTATGGACCGGGCCGATCGCCTCGGTGAGAATAGATGCATCTATGGTTCGTGCCGCTCGACCCTCGGCAATGCACAATTTATTTTCTGTTGGAGCGGGCCGTCGACCTCGGCATGATTGTGCATGATTTATATGCTTACATGTAGATATGACATGATCACTTGTTTAATATGAAAAAGGGAAAACTGGTAGTTTAATTATGTCAAGAACATGAATATGAGTATATGACTCTTCTCTTAAGCTTGTGTTATTGGAAATTCTTCATGCTGTATATCTCACTTTATTATTATATTATCTTGACCTCAGTAAGTATCAAGTCGACCTCTCGTCTCTACTTCTTCGAGATTAGACGGGATACTTACTGAGTACATGTGGTTTATGTACTCATACTACGCTTCTGTACTTAAATGTACAGGATTTGAGGCAGGTGGATCTGGACATCATCCTGGTGCGCATCAGTGAGCGCGCTTGGGGACTTCTACGGTGAGCTGCTTCTCTTTCATGCCGATCCGCAGCCGAAGAAGTCCTTTCTGGTACTTTTTGTTTCTGTCTATTCTGATTCAGACAGTAGGATAGTGTATTATTCTTTTGTGTATATTCTACTAATCGCCCGTAGCTTGTGACACCAGGTTCTGACACACACAGTAGTAGACATTTATTTTGGGATTGTATCGCTATTTTAGCACTTTATGATCTTTACTGGTCTTATCTTTAAATTCGAAAATCTAGTATAACTGTCTTTGGCTAAAGTAAAATGAGAACTTAATCACATTCCGCATCGGCTGGCCTGACAACGGTGTTAGACGCCATCATGACCTATTATGGAAAATGGGTCGTGACAGGACCGGTCTCTATTGCAACAAAACAGTGGCTATTTTTCATTGACTTGTCAAACGCTGGTTATTTTTGATTGACCAGTCTAAAAACTGGCTATACCGTGAAATTTTGGCTCTATTAAGCTATCCACCTAATTGTTTTTAACAATAAAAAAGAAAGCAGTGCAGCTTCAGCCTGTTTAACCTAAATAAAAATAGAAGGATTAATCCAAATGGCAGCCCACTTAATCTTTACCACACAAATAAGGAAATTATGTCAACTAATTAGTATCTAACGAATTTATAATAACATCTTAGCGCTGTCAGACGACAAGATGACCAAAAGAAGAAAAGCTACAAGTCAGTAACAATTTCCTGGTTGCATCATAAGATTTTCTCATTGTATCTTAGGGATGTATAACTAGTATAACTCAAATTAACACATGATTTTCAACCCATACTACCTCAGCACTTGCTTCATTTCCTAGTAGCTTTTGAATGCAACAAGTGCCTTTTGTTTAGTGTCCATAGAAGTACTCAAGTACATTGATCCAGTAACAAATGGTATATTCACTTAACTAAAAAAATGCAGCAGAAAACCACTCTTCAATGCCAGGACACTTCCAAAAAACAGAATTATTTATCGCCATTTCCAACGCCTGTAAGTCGAGGGACGACGACAGGTGCACCACGAACCTTTTCAAGGGCAAAGCTTACCCTCAAGGGGCGACCTAGAAATGCCTGAAAGAAAAAATAACGTCAAATGGAAGTTCCATGCCATTCTGAGGAGGCTGAAATATCACAGTATATAGTCGTCAGTTCACCTTTCCGTCCATGGCGTCTTTTGCACAGTTGGCCTCTTCATCTTTTGAGAAGTGAACAAACCCAAAGCCTCTTGATCGGCCAGTTTCTTTATCATACATTATTCTTACTAGACACATGAAAACGCAGATATTCAGGCAATTTAAGTTCAACTCAGAAATATGCGGGAATGTGCATGAATGTTAAAAGAAAAGGAAACAAGAAAAAGATCTTGACAATCAGTAATATCATGCAATTCAATGTTACTGACTTGAGTGGCTGCTATGTCAAACAATTTGATACTTAACCATTAAGAACTCTGCAATAAACCTCCTTCATCCCAGGGGAGTTTGTTCTAAAAGCTGATTCTTCCGGTTTATACTTTGAGTGAAGCAGAATCAGGGGTGATTACATACCTACTACTTTGTAAAAACATTCTCAAGATTGCACATGATTGATTGATGAGGTGGTCAATTTTTTCTATAGTAGATCAGTAAGGGCGGATAAAGTTTGTCAGGAGCGTCATTACGAAATGCGCTGTGGGGTGTGAGTTTCTACTCACCCAAGAGTGAGTTCCAATTGAGTAATCTCTAACAACTGTGCTCCAGAGGCAACACAGAAAGGTAAATCAAGAAAGGATAGTTAGTAGAAGACGAACAAAATTTCTTGTGAATGGCTGCCTCATGTTTGTTTGAAGAATGTGAAAATCATAAACCATTTGCTATTCCACTACTTCTGTAGTTGGCTGGGCTCTTGAGAGTCTTAATTTTAGTGCCACCTCATATTCATGCGTTTCCTGAAGAAGACTTTCTCGCTCTGAACCTTTCAGGTATAGTCAATGTTTTAAAAGGCGGGGGCGTGAGGTGAGGCGTTTTACCTCTGACGAGGCGAGGCGTAAGTCCTGAGACATGGGGCGTAAGTCCCACGGATCTTAAAATTTTACTGATTTCAAGAATTTTAAGATAGTATAAAATAAAAAATAATTATAAAAATTACATTAAAATCAAAAAATTACAACAATTAATCTATTTAAAATATTTATAAATTATAATTCAACTATGAATAATACGAAAAGTATGACATATATCATAATATGCAAATTAGCTGCAACGTCGTTGCAACTCAAACATCAAAAGCAATGTATTCAATACGAAATCTTATATGTATCTCCTAATCTTGAAAGAATTTCGATATTATAATTGGATATTTTTCTTAAAATGCTCCTTTTATTTAATATGCTTTCTATTTGAAAGAGAATTTATGTAAAAACATAATTCATAATTTAAATATGATTCTCTAGCATCATTTATTTTTAAGTTTCAACAAGTTAATAAAGCGACACATAATTTATCATACAATACCATGATAACTAATTATTTGTAAATAGTTACTAGCTAATACCGAGCTATTAAATTAATAAGTATTGTATCTTGTAAACATGAAAAAAAATATTTAGAAAAATAATTATAAAAAATTATGGACTATTATATAGTAAAGACATAACAAAAGTTGATAAATAAATACCTTTTAAATGAAAGATTTATTAAAAATTAACTATCATAGCAGTCTTAGTAGATAACGTGCAATAATTTTTATTTTAATTATGACATAAAATACTCTCAACTTAAAGATTTATGAAAAAGAAAAAAGTAATTTTGAATTGTCAATGATTTATTAAGCAAATTTGAGAATTTACAAGGTTAGTTACATAGAATTGCATAAAGTTCTATTAGGCGAGCCCAGTACGCTGGGCGTTGGGCGTGTCCGGGGCGTAAGACCCGATGGCCAAGGCATAAGTCTCACGGAACTAAGCCCCACACATAAGTCCAGGGGCGTTTTACGAGTGCTCCGCCCCGGGGAGTCCCAATTCTGCCTTTTAAAACAGAGGGTATAGTCTGTTCACAATCATTGCTAACTCTCATTTTTTATTAGTATCCATTATGATTTCTTAATAATTTTTTAAGGTTCATCCGGTGTTATCAAAGGCAAAAAGCGCAAAAAATGCTCTAAGGTGTGTTAGGGCTTTAAGCGCAAAGCACAAAAAAAGCATGGTTAAGGAAGAAAGGCGCAATTGAGAAAAACTACAAATATGTATGTGTAGTCCAAGAGTAATATCAATAAGCATGAATACCAAATATATGGACAAAGAAATTGAATTTTTTTTACAATAGAAGTGAAATATCAATTGTTTAGTGCAACTCTTCAGGATTACACTAATTGGCAAGGAAAAGCATGCCTTAGAACCTTGAGGACAACACTACAGCGCCCGCTAAGCGAGGCGAAGCGCTCAACCTGTTTTGAGCCTCGCTTTAGGGCTTAAAAACACCTTTGATAACACTTGGTTCATCCAATTATACCATGATCTTAATTTTTCTATAAGCTGACCGCTGGTCCACAGCTTTCTACACATTTGTGGTACCTAGCCTTCATCCCCTCAGTAATAAAGATGAAAGACAGTTGCTACTTGTCTATTAGAAGAAGCAAAAGCCATTAAGTCCTACAGGTGCAAATTACCTTACCAAAATATAGTTCCTGAACTGTGCAACCCACAGCAATTTTGGGTTGATGTTAAAATCTTTTACACGCATAATTTAACCCTCAATCTCCCTAAACCAATAAGTTTCACATGAATTTATCTTCATGTAAAGTACTTAGCATAGAATTTCACAAGGCAGTTACATTTCATAGAGAGTTAAACCATTGGGGCATTTTATCAAAAAGGTAGACTACAACATATATATACCAATCATTCGTTATTTATATTACCTTCTGTTACTTGCCCGAAAGTAGAGAATGCATCGTTGAGCGACTTCTCATCCACAGACCATGACAAACCTGTAAGTACTCACACAATATGATAAAACTGATATAATATACCCATTAAATAGCAACATGAGCTGTAACTAAGTTGAAATTACAGTTATTTGAGTAAAGAGGATTAATAATACCAGCGACGAAGAGCTTGTTATTGGGAGGTTGGGAAGAAGCTGAAGGATGAGAGCAATACAATCGCCCATTTAGAATGTTTGGGAGTCTTATCATTCTTCTGGAAAACTGTATCAAACTTTCCTTCATTTTTCTTTCCTTAATAATAAATCTCCAAAGTGACTACTATATGCTCCTAGAAAAAAGGAAAAGAAACCCCATCACATGTTAAATAATTTTTTTTGCATATATCTTCCTTCATGTTACTTGCATAACATTTCCTCCCATCACATGTTAAATAATTTTTTTTATTAATTACGACGGTTAAAATATCTAATCATTTCCTCCTTTCATGAGGCACTGTTACATTAAATATAACTTTATTAATGCTCATAAAAATTAGTACGAGAGCCTCTGTTACTATTTGACTATTTCTTGAAAATATTTTGCTAGCAAATTTTACCGAAATTTTTGGGTGCCGCTGACCCCTCTCCCTAGGGGACAAAATTTAGTCATAGGCTTGTAGCTTTTGTAAGAAGCAAGTACTAATCCTTTCCTATGCTCCAAGAAGAATGACCCAATTTCAAGTTTGAGAATTAACAAACATTGCAGGAAAAATAATGCATGTCACAATATTTTGTTGAAATGCTTATCAAATTATTGGGGAATAACGATAAAGAAAGACTGTTGGACTCCTTTGGTAGTAACAGTAACTAGTGTTATTCTTTTGAAATGAAGAGAATACTAGCAATTTAAGCTAGAAGTGTACACTTTGGCTGCCGGTTCTTCAGGGAACACAAATTTCCAATGGCAAGATTAATAAGGAATTAACCTTAAGAGAAGATCATCCTTTTTAACCTTAGCTTCAAAAATGTGCTAGCTGCTAGTATAGAGACAAAATCTACAGCAGGACTAAAACAATTTGCTCAAAAGATAATGATGAACAATGTGGTAAATTTTTTTCCCGTGAAAAATAAGAATAATTCCCCAGGAGATGACCAGCATGTGCTGATAGTAAGCAATTTGTTTGCAATTGCCATTCTGAGTCCATCTCCTATATGGGATGAATGTGTTTTAACGAAGATATCCAAGGAACAGAAAGCTCGAGCTCAGATTTGGGAATGACTTAAGCTTTGGCTCCCAACTCCAGCATTAAAGTGTGATTGATTTCATTTGATGTTGGGCCGACAAATTGAAGTGGACCTGCTCACAAATACATTAACAAGCAAAACGGAGCACAGTTAAACACAAATCAAGGAACACCTATGCTGAACTTACAAATCAATCTGAGCAAAAATTGAGTAAACGGGGGAGTCGTCGATGGGATCAATGTACTTTAGTTGTACAAGAAAGGTAGTAAAAGTATCAACAGGATAACCAGAGAAGATAGTCGTTAATATCGTTATGGTTTTTGACTTGATGTACTCAATGATGGTTCATTGCAGTGAATCTGTTACTTGTAAGGTACAGGTGTATTAGAGAGGAGGATATATTGGCTACTATACTCTGTAAAGATTGTGCCAGATAAAAAAAGGAATCACACATGGGCATAAAATTTCGTATTAACGTCATCAATAGTCTAATTATGCTTTGAATGTGGAAGAAAATGTCAATGTTGTGGCCAAAACATGCCTTTTCAAATAGGAATATTGAAAACTTAAGAAGTGGTTAAAATCAATTTAAATGACATACCAGGGCTAAAGTATCGATTCTTTAGAGCCCACTCTTCTCGCAAGGAAGCAAATTTTTTGAAAGGAGCACCTGGGGATTGACAAATGGTTATACAACTGTGAAGCTTTAACCACTCAAAAATTACAGGAACAATGATTGATCTACTAAAGTAACAGGTAACATATGGCTTGTAGTTAATGGAGCTTTTACCTTCTAATTCCACCATTGCCTTCTTAATCACAGGCTTGAACTTACCTGCAAAAATTGATCACTTCATCACAAATGCAGTACAGAATCTCAGCGACAACCTATTCCCCTTGTAAAACAAGACAGGTCTAAACAGAGGTTAATCTGAACCCACTGGTTTCCAAACCGAAACTTGTGCATGTATGTATCTGAGAATCTATTACTATATAAAGTTAAACAACCCATTGCTGCAACTGAGAAGTGGATGCAGTGGCATTTGCTCCTCATGCCAGACAGAACTTCGAACTACGTACTAAGTCTACATTCTAGATCTGCTTCTGCAGAGAGGTTCACCATTTCATCGAGCTAACTACCACTAATTTGATATCTGTGGCTCCAAAACTCCAAGGCCTTGTCTATATAAATTGGTTACTATCTCTTCATATAAGTAAGGGTTGACAATCCTTCAAACTCAGAATCTCAAGCATACAAGTTGAACTAGGTGTAGCTTGTCATATGATTTAAAACCGGGTACTTTTACTTTTACTTTATTATAGTTAAGGAAATATCTTTCTGCTCTTTATTAGTAATTCATTTTTCTTGGTTGATGGTTGCAATATAGAATAGAAAAGTAAGGCACTTGTCCTTAGGTGAGAAATGTCCATATAGATGTCTTGAAATGACTAAAATAGATGCTCCAGAATAGACTTCAAACCAGTTTGTACTAGGGTATTCAGCTAAATCTCTCCTAAGAGAAGAGCAAGAGTCTGAGCAGCACAACCAGGCGCTTAAAACTTCATCAAGCTAAGACCTTTGCTTATCAACAGGGAGAATACACCATATATAGAGAACAAGTGAAGGAGGAGGTTGATACCATGTCTCCTTTCCACATCCATTAATGATGTTAGTGCTGTTCCACCGACGGTCCAATCTTCAACTGGAGCTCCCAAATTCCCCACCTAAATATACAAGGGTCTCAGTATAAATCGCAATTAACCAAAGGTTCTGATGCTATAACATAAAGATAGTTAGAAATAAGGAGACAGGGGAACACCGACAGAGGAAATCAAGCCTGTTTTCCCTGAATGAAGAAGTGCTCCAGCCCCATAACCCAATGCATAGCAATAGTTTGAGTCAAAATTGGAAGGCAAACCACATCTGCCCTCATAACTATAAAGCAAACACAGACAAATAACAACTACTATCAGGATAAACTTAAGAAAGTGAGGTACTAAGTACTTTACAAATTATAGGTTATTAAAGCAGAACTGCATAAGTCAAATGGAAGTGGTATCAATTACCCGAAAAAATGAGACTGCCCTTTAAAATGTTTGGTATATGAACCTTCCTTCCTCTTGTTCTCCAGTTCAGCTTCCACCATTTGAATAAGCATTTTCTCGGTTTCTATTTTGGCAACCTGTAGATTTTGCAATAAGAAAATGTATCAGAAGAGAAAGAACATAGCATGACTTGACTAAATGAGCAATTATCCTATTTTGCCAAACTTTTGTCGAAAAGAAGAAGAGTACCTGGACATTTCCATGTGGATCTCTTTCAAGAAGTAACTGCTCCTGAATTGCTTGTGGTAGGAATTCGAAGAGCTCATGAGACTGGCTTCTGAGCTTCTTTTTCCAATTGCCTGCTTCATCAATAACATCATTAGCCAGTATTTCATTGAGCTCTGCTATCAACTGTTGCACCTGCAAATAAGAGACATAATCTTAACAACAACGTATTGCTTCTCTGTTCATGCTAATAGACGACTCAACTGAATCAGATGCAAAAGACGGAACAAGCTTAAAGGAGAACTGAGCAAAATGGAGGTAACCATGATCAAAGGTTATAAAAATTAGAAATTGAGTGGGAATCGTGATTTCTAAAGTTGAAAGTTAAAACCTCTGGGATGAAGTCAATCAAGCCTTCGGGTATTAGTATAACCCCATAATTATAGCCAAGTTTTGCACGTTTGCAGATTATTCCTACGATATAATCTGTCACACTTTTAAGTGTTTGCTTCTGAGCTGCGACCTGTAGTAAAATGAAACCTTTGTAAATATTGGGGATAAAATAATCTTCACAAACCATGGAAATGAAATTTTAATTGTCTGAAACATCTTGATGACATGCACTGAAGTCCCTACCTAGTAATATAAGTGATAAGGTTAAATATTTATCTTAGACATGGTATGTATAAAAATTTAGATAAACTCACTGAATTAAATTGAATTACAGAAATAATCCGATTCCCATTACTTCAAATTTCTTTCATTGGCTCTTTGAGAAAATATATTCTACTGGGACTGCAAAACGCCAAGTTCCTCCCCAGAAACAAAAGAAATGGATAAAAGAAAACAATAAAAAGACTAATAGAAGAAAAGAATGACCAAAGGCATCATGTGAATTAACGTTAGAAGCTAGGTTTATCCTGTACTAATTAAGACCAACACCTTTTGCTGATATTATGTCCATCTTATGAGAGCAGCTTTTACAAAGTCAGAGGAGAAAAGTGAAGATTCAAACTTCAGGCAAGTTAAAAATATGTGCCTCATAATTGAGGCAGTGGAATAGGTACTTACAAGTAACTGAAATATGAGTGGGACGTACAATAATCTAGGACACTGAAATAACTCTATTACCAGAAGTAATACCATAAACTTCGGATGTAGTTACAGATAGCCTCTTGAAAGAATCTACTTCATCAAAAGAACATAGTTTTCATAATAGATTCATCCAACAGAACAGTTCTTCTCAGAAAACTGCGTATTGGTAATGCAATCTAGGAAAAGATTGAATTCTCTCTTTAAGTTTTGGACACATTAAGTAGACTATGTTGCATACATGCATGAAAACTGTTGAGATATTAGGAGACTAACTATAGTTAGCTACCTTAGTTAATGATAATTGTAGTTAGTTAGCTTAGTTAATGGTAGTTAGGAAGTTAGTGACAGCTGGACACAGCTAAGTTAAAGGAGTTGGGTTAGTATACTGTATATAACAGAAAATCAGTTAGCTTGTACAGTAACACTTTTCATTCTTTGATAATCTGAGAAAGATTCCTCCATGTTTATGCTTTCTTCTTCTTCTTCTCTTCTCTCTTTTGTTGAAGGTAGTTCACCAGAAATTATCATGGTATCAGAGCTTGCGGATTGATTCGAGCTCCGTTCACTCTCCTCTGGTGTTATCTTCAATTGTTCTTATTTTGCCTAATTGCTTTCGAGTCGCCATTGTTGGTGTAACTCATCTTTGAGCAGCTAGGGTTTTATAATTCAGAAATTTCTCTGAGTTTTCAAGCTTTTTTCAATGGCGGTTGAGATCTCGGACGATACTACTGATGTCCCTGCACCACCTCCGGCTAGAGGCGGTGTCGGCGTGATTCCTGTTGTAGATCAGCATCATCCACTCTTTCTCCAGCCCTGCGACACTCCAGGTATCTCGCTAATTTCAATTAAACTTACAGGACCTGAGAATTATGCTTTATGGAACAGTTCTATGCGAGTTAGCCTACTAGGAAAAAGCAAATTAGGATTTGTTGATGGTAGATATTCTAAGGACAAATTTGATCCATCTTTGCATGAGTTGTGGGAGAAGTAATGCTATAGTGCTTTCATGGATAATGAATTCAGTCAGCAATGAATTACTGATTGGTATGGTGTATGCTACAAGTGCTCAGAAGATTTGGTCTGATCTTAGGGAAACTTTTGATAAAGTTAATGGATCTAGAATTTTGTATCTTCATAGACAAATAGCCACCTTAACTCAGGGCATCTCATCAGTTTCAGTCTATTTCTCAAAACTGAAGGAATTGTGGGCAGAATTTGATGCCTTAATGCCTTGTCCTGGTTGTGCTTGTGAAGAGTCCAAAAAGTATGTTGAGCATTTTGAATCTCAAAGACTTTTGCAGTTTCTAATGGGACTGAATGAGTCGTATGCTCAGTCTAGTAATCAGATTATGATGATGTCACCAACTCCTTCAATTAATCAGGCATATGCTATGATAGTATCTGAGGAAAGTAGGAGATCATTGACTCCCTCTACACATGTGCCTGAGATAAATGAAGGAATAGCCTTGTTTAGCAATAATGGAGGTTACAGGGCTACTAACTCATATAGTTCTGACAATGCTGCCATGTAATAACAAAGGAGGATCCTCTAGTTCAGGACCAGTCTATAGACACAAGAAGAACAACCTCTACTGTGACTATTGTCATTTCAAAGGGCACACCAGAGATACATGCTACAAACTGGTGGGATATCCAGCAGACTTCAAAGCCAAGAAGAAGACTTCTTCTGTCAACTATGCTAGAGACAACAACAATGATGTCAACTCTGCTTCTGTGAGTGAGATTATTGGTGCAAGTGCTAACATGGCCAGAAATGCAGCACCTAGTCAAGTTCAGAATCAAAACATTCAAGCAGGACTAGCAGGACTGGCAGGGATTCCACAATTCACTCAGGAACAGTACACTCAAATTCTGCAGATGCTTGGCAAAGGGAATGAGAATGGTAACTCATCTGTGACAGCAGGTATAGCAAATGCAGCTACTACTACTAGTGAAGATCTAATTAAATGGATAGTAGATTCTGGAGCATCAAACCACATGGTTAATGATAAACACATCTTGACTGAAAATAGTTCATGTGATAAATCTAAAGAGTGCAAAGTTCATCTACCTAATGGGGAGACAGTTACTATCAATCACATAGGCTCTACCTATCTTTTTCCTGGTCAAAAGATAACCAATGTGATGTATATACCTGGATTCAAATACAACCTCTTGTCCGTGTCAAAGTTAACAAAAGAACTAAAGTGTGCGGCCATGTTCTTTCCTGACTTCTTCATTTTTTAGGATCTCTTGAGTGACAAAGTGAAGGGGATTGGTAGAGAGGACAGTGGTCTATATGTGTTCAACCATAATAGCAAGCTTCATGTGGATTCTGTTGTGACACCTATTTCACAGTGTAAAGATGTCTCAAAATCTGTTGCTGTAAATACAATAATTGGCAGTAGAATAAGTGTAGACCTTTGGCATAAACGACTAGGCCATGTGCCACTTAGTACTCTGAAAAAAAATGAAGGATTTTCAATCTGTAGAACTTGATAAATCCGAAGGTCATTGTAATGTTTGTCCATTAGCTAAGCAATCAAGACTACCATTTCCTTTGAGTAATACTGTCTCTACTACTTGTTTTCACACTATTCATGGTGATGTTTGGGGTCCTTACAGAATTCCTACATATGATGGTAGGAGGTATTTTCTAACCTTATTTGATGATCACTCCAGGTATACTTGGATCTTCTTGCTTCCTTCAAAAGGTGAAGTAATTGTAGTGCTAAGAAATTTCTTACTCATGGTTCAGAATGTTTATTCATGTTCTGTAAAAGTGCTCAGAATTGACAATGGATGTGAGTTCTTTAATTCACAAATGACAGCACTGCTTCAGTCCTTTGGGATCATTCGTCAGAGTTCTTGTGTCTACACTCCTCAGCAAAATGGAGTAGCAGAAAGGAGACACAGATACATTCTAGATACTGCAAGAGCCTTGAGGTTCCAAGCATCAGTTCCTCTGAAGTTTTGGGGAGAATGTGCTCTAACTGCTGTTTATGTGATCAACAAAATACCTACACCTACTCTTCAAGACAGGTCCCCCTATGAAGTGTAACATGGTCACTTGCCCTCATTAAAGCATCTGAGGGTATTTGGTTGTTTGGGGTATGTCACAGACCTCAAAGGAGGGGATAAATTCTCACCTAGAGCTGTTCCTGCCATTTTTCTTGGTTATTCTCCGACTCAAAAGGGATATAAAATGTATGTTATTCACTCAAGGAGTTTTCAAGTTAGCAGAGAAGTAGTGTTCAAAGAAGATGTATTTCCTTTTAAGCATCTTCCTACTACTATCTCCTCTCTATTTCCAGTCCTAGACTTAACTACTGTCTCTCCCACTTCTCCTTCTATGTCATCCATATCAGATACTGCTGAATCTACTGAGTTAACCTTAGACACTGTCATGCCAGAAGCAATTGTTCAACCACCTGACATGTTGGACACACCAGCTTCTGCTGGACCTACTGAGACAGTTGATGATTCCAACCATCCATCTCATGACATTTCTATGCCCTCCAATGTACCTGAGTCAGCAAAAAATCCACCAGAACCAGTAGACCACCTGTCTGGCTAAAAGACTATGTCACTCAGAAGCAGGGAAATGCTAACTATTGTTATCCTATGTCCAACTATGTATCCTATGCTAATATATCTCAGCCTTTTAGTGCTGCTCTTACTGCCTATTCAGCTATTGCAGAACCTCAGTCTTATTCTGAAGCTGTCAATCATAAGCAATGGATAGAGGCTATGCAATCAGAGATTGCAGCCTTAGAGGATAAAGTATTGTTGATCTCCCCCCCGGGAAGATACCTATAGGCTGCAGATGGGTATTCAAGGTGAAATACACTGCCTTAGGAGCTGTGGAGAGATATAAAGTCAGGCTAGTGGCTAAGGGATATAGTCAACAGGAGGGGCTCGATTACACAGAAACTTTCTCTCCTGTGGCCAAAATGGTCACAGTGAGATTTGTCATTGCTATTGCAGCTGCCAAGTATTGGCCTATCTATCAAATGGATGTACATAATGCTTTTTGCAAGGTGACCTTCTAGAGGGAGGTTTACATGGAGATTCCTCGGGGGTTTGCAAGCCAGGGAGGGAGTTCTAAGGTTTGCAAACTTCACAAGTCATTGTATGGCCTGAAGCAAGCCCCTAGATAATGGAACAAAAAACTAACTGATGCATTAATGGATCTTGGCTTCACTCAAAGTCACTATGATTACTCTCTTTTCACCAAAGAAGAGCAGAGCGCACTGGTAGTGGTCTTGGTGTATGTAGATGATCTACTAGTGACAGGAAGCTGTTCTGATTTGATAATCAAAACAAGGAATGATCTTAAGCTCAGGTTCAAAATGAAGGATTTGGGTGAACTAAAATTCTTTCTTGGGATAGAATTTGCTAGATCCAGAAAAGGCATAGTATTGAGCCAAAGGAAATATGCTTTGGAACTTATCTCTGAAATGGGACTAGGAGGATCCAAACCAGCTGGTACTCCACTGGAATCCAATGTGAAACTCACATCTGAAGAGTGTGATTCTTTCATCAAAGGAGACTCAGATCCTGAAGCAACAAAAGATGACAACCTATTGACAGATCCATGTCAATATCAGAGGCTCATAGGAAGGTTGTTGTATCTTACTATGACTACAATTGATATTGCTTATGCTGTGCAAGTGCTCAGTCAATTTATGCACAAGCCAAAGTAGTCACACCTCGAAGCTGCTCACAGAGTTGTAAGATACATCAAGGCAGCTCCTGGTCTAGGTCTACTAATGCCCTCAGACAGTTCTGGCACACTTGTAGCCTATTGTGACTCAGACTGGGGAGGTTGTTTACAAACTAGGAGATCTGTTACAGGGTGTCTAGTGAAGTTTGGGGAAGCTACCATATCCTGGAAGTCGAAGAAACAGGACACAGTAGCTAGAAGCTCGACAGAGGCAGAATTTAGAAGCATGGCTTCCACAGTTGCTGAACTGACCTGGTTAACAGGGTTATACAAAGAGCTGGGAGTTGATGTCAACTGGCCTATCTCTCTATATTGTGACAGTAAAGCTGCGATTCAGATTGCAGCCAATCCCATTTTTCATGAGAGAACGAAGCATATTGATATTGACTGTCATTTTGTTAGGAAGTTAGTGACAGCTGGACACAGCTAAGTTAAGGAAGTTGGGTTAGTACACTGTATATAACAGAAAATCAGTTAGCTTGTACAGTAACACTTTTCATTCTCTGATAATCTGAGAAAGGTTCCTCCATGTTTATGCTTTCTTCTTCTTCTCTTCTCTCTTTTGTTGAAGGTAGCTCACCAGAAATTATCAAAAACCATGTCAACAACTTGGAAAACAATTACCTCTTCGCCAATGATGGTAATGTTCGGATGCGTCTGTAGAGCACACTCCAATGTGATGTGCGATGCAGCACGACCCATAAGCCTTACAACTAGAGAAACCATAAATAGCTTAAGAAAAGGATCACAAATATGTTATTGAGAGTTAATATTAAAATTTTATTCAGACGAAAACATGTACTATATTCTCAAAATTAGGAATATATGAAGTGTATCCCTAGTCGTCTGCAACTTATGTACTTACAGTGATAGTATTTTCCTGTTGAACGCGCGTCTATCATGACATTTCCAATCATTTCTGCATATATCTGCACCGTAATGTTAAGTTGGATAATGATAGTAGTAACCTGACCGAAGTTATCAACTTTGAGGTGATAGTAATTTATTACTAAGAAAACTAAGAATGCAACAACAGTTTGAATGAAATATAACAGTTTGCGTATAAGACAATGACACATAATATTCTTCTTTCACACACTATTTGAAAAAGGTATCCTTATCACCTCTACTCGCATACTAGAAGTAAAAAAAATAAAAGGTCAAGAGAGAAGTGCTAACTAGATGTTTTTTATAGAAATAATGTGAAGTAAAATGGAGCTAGGCATTAAGACAAGAGAAAGAATTACCTTGCAAGCAGTATCAAATCCGAAACTAGTAGGAACTTCTTTGCATTTCAAATCACCATCAATTGTCTTTGGGCATCCAATTACCCGAGTTTTCAAACCTTTACCCCTTTAGTTGTACCAAATAAGCAAAATTCCATGAGAGGCATGCCAATGATGAATACCATGAGCCAGTCAAATGAGAATACTTACCTGAAGTTCTCAGCCAGAAGACAAGCATTCGTGTTTGAATCATCTCCCCCAATCACAACTATCCCATCTAAGTCAAGTTTCTTAGCTGTTTCTGCAGCTTGTTTGAACTGGGAAAAAACACAACAATAATAATATGCAGACTAAGTTACAAATGAAACATAGTTTGCATAGAATAAATAAAGATCAGTGTTGAAGTGTGGAATTTGATGGTGCCTATTTGAATATAAAACAAAAGAAAGATAACCTGTTCATCAGTTTCTATCTTGTCTCTACCACTAGCGATCATATCAAAACCACCCTGTCAAAAAAATTTCAATTACACATGTTCTGCAGAAGTCAAATTAGGCAGAAAATCAAAAAGGAAAAAGCAATAACAACGGTAGATACTTTTCTTAATCAAGTTGCAAAAGTTCCCAAATCATAAGCTAAATAAGTTGCCATCATATTGCTACGAAAAGCTTTGGATAGAAAAAAAAATTCCCATAAAAGTCCACATCCACATTTTGTTGAAGAAAAGTGTTCTGAACATGTGCAAACAGATACATATATCTCAACTGGATGGTGGAAATTGAAACATCGACATCATTTCAATTAATGTAATTTCACTAAGAAACTGACTGCTGCCTTAGGAGAAAGTTTCTTAGTCATATTTATGAAAAGTTTCTTAGTCATATTTATGAACTTCAACCCTAATGATGAAGAAACTTCTTACTTGATTTCTGTAAGGATAAACAAAATCCGTTGTCAACTCTACATATTTACAGTTCATTATCCCTGCTGGACCTCCCCTAAATCCATAGAGTGTGCTGCCTTTCGTTTTCTCCTGCAAATAGTCTGGAAGAAAAAGAATCTACTAATTGCTGAGGTACATCCGCACATTATATTATGTGCTAATACAGAACAGCAAAAAATAAATACCATAAAGTAAAAATTATTGGAAAAGCACTAACCAAAAATTCCAGAGATGACATTGTGGCCACCAGGTGCTTGTCCTCCAGACAAAACAACCCCAATTTTAAGATTATGATTCAATGCAGCTCCTGATGTGTGACCTGGTAGTAACGACACGGAAGGCTGCCCAAACAGATTTGGGAAAAGCTTCCCAATTTCACCTGCAATATTGATGTCAAACTAAATGTGAAGCTAAGCATAAAAAGCTTTGTTAAGATTAATGAGTTTTAAATAGAATAGTGGAAATATTTTGTTATCAGATCAAAAGGATATAGTGTCATATTAAACAGAATAGAGGGAGTATTTATAATCTCCCTTTTACATCTTTCTATTTCAAACAAATTCAGATCATCCAAGATTCCAACTATTTAAAATCAAGTTTATATCATATACTCAGGTCTTTGTATGAAAATTGTGAACTAATCCAAGTCCAAAAATCATCTATTTACAGTTATATATAATTATGAAACTTTATTGGTAAAGTGCAGCATTTTCCTCGCAATATATCTCGTGTTCCATGATCCTAGTGTCACGCGATGTCAGTCGTAATGCTAGTGTTATACATCGAGCTTTTGCCAGTTAGCTTCTATTTCATAGCACATTCAACGGTATACATTTGAACAAACATCAATTCAATAAAATTCAACACAATGTATATGCGCAGCAGTAATTTCATTGGACATAATGCAAGTTAGCGATAAAGGAGAATATATTAACCTGGATTTCCAGCGGCAGAACTAGGGGGACCATCAACGACAGAGAAGGGATTTTTGAGGACAGAAGGGAGAGGAAGCGATACAGTGAGACGGTTGCTTTGGACTTCGCTGTACGCCGAAGTCGATCGTCCTGGCTCTGCTGCTGCTTTTGCTGTTGCTGCCATTTTTCCTCTTGTGTGCTTAATTAATCCTGTGCAAATGTGTGTGTGTGTGTGTTATGTGCGTGACGAGAAGGAGAAGATGCGAGATGTGAGAAATTTGAAGGTTTTTTAAGCGAATTCGTAGAAAGTGGAGAGTTCGTTATGGAGGTTATGATTTGAATGCCCTTTTTGAACTTATCTTAAGCGGGAGGAAATTGAGGAATACAAATAGGATCATTTAAGATTGCTATTTAAATTTTATCCCTGTTTAAAGAATTTGTATAAACCTGACGGGTCGTAATTTTCACATAAATAGCACGTGCTAGCCAGTTTTTGGACTGATCATTCAAAAATAGCCAGCGTTTGCCAAGTCATTGAAAAATAGCCACTATTTTGCTGCAACAGAGACCGATCCGGCATAATATACTGGAGTTCGGTCCACCTGTGTATGAACTTCCAGCATATTATGCTGGATCAGTATACAGCAAAGTATACTGGAACTTTGCTCCAGTATACTTTGCTGGAACTTCAGTATATTATACTGGAGTTTGGAGTTCCAGTATACTTTGCTGGAACTCCAGTATATTATACTGCAGTATTTTCCGGATTTTGAACAGTGTTTTCGTTCAGATTTATCTTTACATGAAAAATGGCTAAATTTCGATGACTTTTGAAACTGTGGCTATTTTTCAATGACCACTTGTAAATCTGGCTATTTTTTAATTTCTCCCTATAATTTGCCCGTTCATCTTTTTCAATTTATTTTCTTTTAATTTATTTAAAAAAGAATGATAATTTTCTATTTTTAAAAAAATTTAACTTTAAATTACTAATTCAAAGAACCTATAAATTTGTTACTAGTAGTACCTTATACATTAACCCACGCAATAATCTCTTTAAGTTTTATAATTATTTCATTGTTTTGTTTTAATTTATGTGCTACTATTTTATTTTAAAAAAATAATTTAATTTTACATTTTTTATTCTATTTTATGATCACACAAGTTTAATAATGACACTTTATATAATGGAAAGTTCTAAAATTCCTTCTTGTGAATCGACAGAGTTGACATAAAAAAGGGAGGGACTAATTATTTTTTTTTTCTTTTTTCATGAATAGAAGCTACTATTGTTGAAGTGCGGCAGGAGCTTAAGCTGAATCTTCATTCTTCAATGGTGTTTTAACAGAGAGCAAAGAGAGGTAAAGCTACTATCGCCTGCTCTGCTTCTGTTTCATTTGTTCTTCGTCTGAAACATAAGGTTTGTTGGATTATATATAGCTGTATCTGTAAATGGACATTACTTTACTAATTGAGGGCTACATTGTTTTATTTTCCCGTTTCTCATAAAATGTGTACGGAATTGAACTCTTCTATAGCAATAACTGGGGCAGGGATGAGAAATTTTCTAAATCAGCTTGCTGATTTTACATTTGGAGATAGAGATGGTTAAAACCTCAGTTCAGAGTTGAGAAGGCCATATAAGTAAGTAAATTTAAGAAGATATATTGTTCCTAAAATTGACATCAGACATTGTAGAATGGAGAGTAATATTTTGTTGTAGTAAATTCCAAAGACATCTTCCCTTTCTATTTTAACAGATCTCATCATAGTTTTCGTTGATAAAAGTTATGAGAAACTTTATGTCCTAGTATGTAAGTTTATTCAGTAATTTCAAGCATATTCTTTTTCTGGCTCGAATGGTCTTCCGGAATTCAGCAATGCACCTTCCTTGGCTGAGCAATCCAGGTATACGTAGTTATGGCGTTACTTAAAGCAAGTGATATGTTACTTAAATCATATTTCTGCACTCTGATGTCCTTATTAGGGATAAGGTCTGCGTACACACTATCCTCCCCAGACCCCACTTGTGAGATTTCACTGGGTTTGATGTTGTTATCGTTATTGTTGTCCTTAAAGCATCCAATATATCAGGAAAAACAGATGTTTTAACTGAAACGGAAGCTTAATACATTTGGCAAATTAGTATTGATGTCTATGAGAAATCAATATGGTCCTATAATACAAACTCTGGAAATGAATGATGTGTTGAAAGCTTATACGACATGGTACACCATCTTAATGAAATACTTAGCTGTATTTGACTATAAAAGAACTTGTATGGAAAATATCTTAACAGAGTATTTAAGCTTCCTCCTTCTCCTCTGCTCCGAGTTTCTTTTCCTTGTTGCTGAGGGTCAAATCCTTCCAATCCTTGAGCTCTTCTTTGGAATCCTCAAGACTGCTAAGATGCTGTACCTTGTATTGGTGTCTCATTGAAAATACAATAAAAACCAAGAAATTAATTAATCCAAGCACTGCCAACAGCCAGTAGAAGAGGTCCAGCTTTCCTTTGTTTAAATTGCTTTTAAGCCAGCTTCTTTTTGTTACTTTTGTTACAAGGGACACTAGCAAGCTACTCACAAAATATCCCATCGAGAGTGTGCTGAGAAATAGGCCTGTGCTCATAGATTTCATCCCTTCTGGTGCCTCCCTAATGAAAAATTCAAGCTGACCTACATAGGCAAAAGCTTCCCCGGCACCTACAATGAAGAATTGAGGGACTAACCAAAAAGCTCTTATTTTGAAGTTGTCGTGGATGGCACGGTCCCTCCTTAGTCGTTCTACCAAAGCTGAAGCTACCATACCAGCAACGGAGAGTAATAGTCCAATTCCAACTCTCTGAAGACTTGTGAGTCCTTGGACGTTGTGAGTGATTCTTCTGGCAATACGTACAGTGACCCTTTCATTTGCGGAAGTAAAGAGAAGTATGCTAATAAAGAGAAAGAAGGAAAAGGAGCCTGCAGGGATGGCAAAGTTGCCGACATTCCGGTTCATGAAAGTAGCTTGTTCAATGGTGAAGGTATTCATCTGAGAGTATACTGTCCAAAAAAGTATGCATGTAGACCATATGGGAATCAGTTTAAGCACCATTTTCACTTCTTCAACTTCTGTAACTGTTGAAACTATCCAACGGTTTTTGCTATTTTCATTTTCCGTGGCACTGTCATCAATAATGGCTGCCTTGTCAAGACACCTGTTTGATAACAAGTACTAGTACTGGTTAGCTTCTATTTACATCAAATATTTGTTTTTTACTACTTATTTTACATGATGATTCTTAATTTGCCATAAAACAACTACATTCAGGTATTTAATTCTGGCCTTACATGTTAAAATTTCACTGACTACATACTGATGCAATTGCCTGTGAATATATGTAGGTTAAAGATTCCATACTTATGATGCCTATTGTCTATTTTGTGCATTCTGTTGGGTATGATCAGATCTGCCTAGCAAGTAGCGATCCTCCCATTGGTTTTCGATAAGATAATCAGTTAAGTAATGCCCTCCATAATTATCAGTGTTTTACATGGATAATAGATAGGAGTAATAGTCTTATTTAGGCGATTGAAATTAGTTCGATAAGCATCTCTAGGCTGTTACTTTTACTTTTAATATCATGCTTACCTGAGCATATGTGTATGTGGTACTTTTGCATTGTGATATTCATTCAAGAATGCAGGATCAGAAGGGTACGAAAGCTTTCTCTTCCTCCAAGCCAAGAACAAAACTCTCCATATGATAGTCAAAGGACTTCCTTGAGGCTTCTTGAATCTATAAAATGTCGTTCCACCAATCAATACAGCCACGCCCAGGACCATCGTGCCTGCTGATATCCCGTATCCCCATCCTCTTCCTACATTGTCTTGTAAATACACCAATACAGTCACTGCAAACAAAGAACCCAGGCTTATGCAGAAATAGAACCTGTTGAAGAAGTATATCATGGATTTGTTTTCCTTAGGATCTGATGGGTCAAATTGGTCCGACCCAAACCCAGAAACGTTTGACTTGATTCCACCGCCACCAAGAGCTAGGGTGTATAGTGCTGCATAGAGTAGAGCAAGTTGTTGGCTGCTGGCTGCAATGCAGTGACCCTTTCTTGAGTCACATTCAGGGGGCTTCATGCTTCGACTTGACGTCGCCAGTGTCAAAAGTGTTACCCCCTGGTTAGATATGAGATACATATTAAGGATGTTCAAGTGATATAACAATATTTATTGCTTCATTTACGGATTGTAACACGTAGAAAATTTTAAAAATTTATTAGCATGTAAATAACAACAACATACCCAGTATAATCCCACGGGGTGGGTCTGGGGAGGGTAGTGAGTACGCAGACCTTACCCCTACCTGGAGAGGTAGAGAGGCTGTTTCCGATAGACCCTCGGCTCAAGAAAAAGGTGGAAAGGAAGAATAGGGGAGAAGAAGAGGAGGAAAGAGGGGGGGGGGGGGGGGGGGAAGAAAGGCGATAAGCAAAGAGGAGAAAAAGTAGCATCAAATAGTAACCATCAGGGAGCAACAATATCCAGTAAAAGAAGCGAAAGAGTAGCATCAAATAGTAACAATCAGAGAGCAACAATCCTAGTAGCAATTTACAAAAACAAAGGACGTGGTTGCAAAGTACCAGATAATAACAAACTAGAAGGAAGTAACTTTCAACCCACAATACGAATATAAATAGCATGTAAATGATATAGGCGATAATATGTAGAAAGTTAATACTTCTTAGAGAAACAAGTAAGCTTTACATGTAATTATTTCAGTGAAAGCAAATCTTTTTACAAGTTGGAAAACTAGACACAAAGGCTAGAATTGCGCACTGGTCTTGTTTCATTTCAGATCATTTTCTTTTGTTGAATCTAAGCTACATGTTTTCTATTAGTGAGAAGACCCTTTTTTCCATTTCAGATTTTCCTTGTTGATATAGGAGACAACTTTTCTATCTCTAATTTGGCTCAAGAATCTTACCAAAGCAGCAATTGAAGCAAAGATTGCAACAGTCAAATAGCGGCCAAGTTTAGCATCTGCAAGGAAACCACCTAGAAGACCAAGAAGATTAAGTGTGCCCATGAAGTTGGTGACAATGTTGGCAGATTTGGAGGCTGGAAGATGCAAGTCTCCAACCAAGTATGTAACTAAATTCATCGATATCCCCATGACACATATCCTTTCTGATAACTCCGTTCCTAAAACAAAAATTTCAGTTATAAGACTGCAAAAACATTTGTTAGACTCAAGATATTAGACAAAGTTCTATGGTAGGGAAGGGCACCTAGAATGAGTCCAGCAGCTAGCCATCCCCCTGTTCGAGACTTATCAACCGGATTTCCTCGAAAATCAACTAGAGTTCCATCTTCTGCACCATCTTTGGCAGCATGGTTATCAACCAAAACCTATGCATGATTAAAAGAAAGCTTAGATGAGATATGTAAGCATAAACCTAATAATATTCTAGAATAGAAGAGAATAGCTGAGTCTAATTACCATTGCTGTAAGAGGGCCTTAACAGAAAAGGAGGGGAAATGGGAATAGAAAGTGAGGTTTATGAATGAGGGGGGAGGATATTATATTTGGATTCTTGATAATATATTTTAAAGAAAAGATAAAGATGAATGATGAGGCCAAAAGATTAGCAAGGTAGGCTGTTGCAGCAGCACTCTATTGCCTCAATATGTTTTAAAGCAGGAGGGTACTGACTGATAATTGCAGGTTTGTTTGTACTTGGAAGCATCATTTTGTGGTTGAAATAGCTTACAACCTACTGAGCCGTTAGATTGGGAATTGACATATGTTTGAATGAACGTGCTTCTTATCTACACAGAATGGGACCAGCTGTTTCAGCCTTCAAGGTTATTCCCTCTTCTTTTTACAAATTACATTTGCTTACTTTGATCTTTGACAGTGAACTTAATATAGGCTGGATTCAGCTAAAGGTTGAGGTGAATATCATGTTAAATCTCAGTCATTAAAAAAAAACTCCTTTTGAGCTGGATAACATATTCTTTCTCAATCCAATAGTCAAATCACCTTTATCTATATATAAATAATGCTGTCATTTCTCCCATGTTATTGGAAGAACTGTGTACTAAGAATTTAAAAAAAAAAAAAAAAAAAGGCAGCCCAGTGCACTAAGCTCTCGCTATGCGCGGACACCTTGATTCTTAGAACTGTGTACTAAGAATCAAGCATATAACTGTTGCAGAAATTTCCTCTCGTGAACTCTTTCACTCTTTGAAAAGTGTGCCAAAATTATTCAGAAATCTAACTTTGGCACAATCAACTTTGCATCATATCAGGAAAAACTTAATTTAGACGTTAAACGAATCGAATAATGAAAGTGTTGATTTTGTTTTGGTACAATGGATACAGTTATTCATTTTTTAATTTTTTTGGTCTACCATCATGTGTACTATTAATTAGTCACTTATTTGGCCATCTATTGCATATTTCTCTCCTCAATTATCCTACCCTGGCCCCCCATTCACCGTCCTTATCCCAGGTCTCTCGTCTCTCTCCTCATTGATACAGTATGTATGTATATATTGTGTCAAGAAGTTTAAATACGCTAAGAATACTTAAATTTGATATGTTTAAGCTAATGTCTGAAGTTGGCTATTTGTCTAATTTTGTTTATCAACAGTCTAGGTGCAACAGCTGTTTGATGCGTTGATAAATTTGAGAGGATTTACGAAACAGTAATCTGAATTTATGGGAAAGTTAGGTAATTTGTTGAAAATGCTGAATACTAACATTAGTAGAAGTAAATTGAATTCTTGGAATGTGAAGCTAGCTGCTATATTAGAAAAAGAGGAGGTATTTATATTGGTTTTGTTCACTCCATATTTATTGTGAACCAGAAATGAGTTAAGAACATTAACTACTACTAATATTATCTTCATTATAAATTAGAAAAAGGACAAGTACTAACTAGTGTGCATTCGAATCGGTTTATCGATAAATCGAATCGATTATTTTTTATTGAAATCGAAATCGAAAAAATCGAAACCTTATTGAAACGATAACGATAAGCATATGTACAAATCGATAATCGATAAGTAATTATCGATAAGGGTCAAATCGAATCGATAAATCGAATTCACACCCCTAGACTGTAGACACTTGTTAAATGAGTAATTACCTATTTGTGTAGACTAATATAATATACAGAATGTATATATATTCCGCTACTATTTTGAAAGCGGCTATACAATATTATTTTCCCTAATCTATACCCTTTCCTTTACCCTAAGTCCCTTACCCTATTATTTCCTCTACCACATTTAAGGAATGATCATATTTAAAGATCAACGGAATGAAGTTAAATTTAATGGAAAACAGAATTAGCCGTGATGATGTGTTTTGTTTTGTTTTGTTTTTTTTATATCGTTGGAGTGTTGTGGCATACATTTGATCCCTTACTTTAGTTTTGTTGCATGTGCTTGTTGACACAATTTTTATATTATAAATGGTGTTCGTCTTATTTTAGCTTCTTTTTATCCATATTAGTTAGGCGCGTTTATAGCGATATACTTTTCGTGGAATCCCGCAAATTTTCTTATTGGTGTAATCGATAACCGAATCGATAAGCTCCCAAAATCGATAAATGGAAATCGAAAAAATCGAAACCTTATTGAAACGATAACGATAAGCATATGTACAAATCGATAATCGATAAGTAATTATCGATAAGGGTCAAAATCGAATCGATAAATCGAATGCACACCCCTAGTACTAACAATACTGAGGTTTACGTAAAGTTTTTGCCAGTATAGTGCTAGCTAGCTTTATTCGTCAAGCATTGACAACTTATGTTTTTTTTTGTTGTTGAGTTTAACCGTCTGGTATTCGAAATCTATTGGTTCGATTTTTAGATTCACATTGAGTAGGCTCAGTTAGAAGGTAAAGTGTTCCCGGTGGTGGAGTCACCTTATCCCGAGGGTATCAATTGACACCCCTTCGTCCGAGAAATGCATTGTGTAGTTAGATTAAAAGAAATTAAATGTATATATTACTATATGTTGACTCCCTTTGATCTTTTTGTATGTTTACTAATTTATATTTTGATACCTCTTATTGAAAATTATGGCTCCGTCACTGAATGTTCCCAATCATAACATTCTCTATTTTCTAGGTTCGAGCCCGAGATCTCTGATTAATGTCAGAGAAATCTCAACTATCACACTTCACCTATTCGCTGATTACTAATAATAATAGCTGAAACACACATAAGGAAGTACTAGTAAATGTTGCCACTGCTCCTTACAGCTAATGGCCTTCAGCTAGCTACTTAAATAGCCTCAGCAAATTGACAAGCTGGACATTGTCCTATGGTAGTTACTAGTCAGATACCTAGGGTCGTTTGGTTATACTATGATTTTATCCCAATCAAATATGGAATAAACTCATCTCAAAATTAATTCCGGAATTATTTATCCTTTATTCCTCGTACCAAACGAAATTGATATGTGAAAATCCCTTCTGAATACTGAGCATTTTCCTACCTAATTGGTTCGCTTTCATCTTGTTGCTTCCTTATAAATGAAGTCATATCTTTATTGCTGGGCCTCTTTTATACTCATTTCAAGAGGGAAAATGATATTGTATAGTCAATGTAAAAATAATATCCGAAAAAATATATAAAATTTATATATTCTGTATATAACATACATTCTGTATGTTATATACAAAAATTATACAAATTTTATATATTTTTTCGGCTACCAGATGCAAATAGTTTCTGGCGCGGGCTAAAAGTGATAATACTCCATTTGACTCATTTCTTGTATCTAATGGGCATCTAAGTTCTGCATTAAGTGAATGCTCTTATATTTTTGCATCAACAGTTATGTTTCCAGATCCTCATTTCTTTTTACGTGCATATAATTTCTTGCACAATAAGCGTAATCGAGGTACGATTCTTGTCGAATTTTGTATTTGAGTCGACAAATTAACGTCATTCTTATTTCTTAGACGTCCAATTGGAAACTGTTGGAGCTATTCAGGATCAACCACATAAGAGAACCCTTGTCTAGTTAGTCTGTCCAAATTGACAATTGTGTCAATGGGACCATGTTTTTGTTGTAATCCTTATTTACAAATCTCACACGGTACAAATAGTGATTCTCAATCGAAACGACCATTGATAGGGTTTCTCCCAAAATTACTGTATGTTTATTTTGATGTGGCATGCTATGTGGAGCCAAATAGTTCTTTTTCTTCCTTTAGCTCTAATATATAATAGTTTCATATGACATATTTTCGCTTAAAAAGGACCAAAGTTGCACATCCCAACTAGATCAAAATTTAGTACAAATTTTATGAGGATCAAAACAAAAGTTCATATATAAGTAAGGTGTCAGCTGCAGAGGTGGAGCTAGAAGCTGACGTTCGGTATCAGCCGAAACAAGTAGCTTTAGTCCAACTCTGTATTTATATAAGTTTACTAAATATATACAAAATTTAATTTTAGAATCCAATCACTAAAATCTAATATCAATATTCTAGAATTTAGAATCCATAAAGTTCAAATTCTATTATCGCCTTCGATAACTTTTTCGTCTTTGATATTTGCACCAACCAATAGCATTTAACCCTACGACGAGAACTAGTGTCACATTCAACCATTATATATTTATGGTTAAGTGATAATTTTTTATGTATAATATATGTCATGCGTCCAATTTGATGCAAAGCATAAGTCCTAGTAAGATCTTTTTCTACTAAAAACAAATACAATAGAATCTAACTCTAGATTTTCTTTATTGGGGGAGGGGCTGAGGCGTATCCAAGTTGAGGGATATGGGTGCACGTGAACCCATACCGCTCTCCCTAAGCCAAGTATTACAATATTATAGTTCTTCAAAATTACTTAAGTAATGTGTGTGAACCCATGCTAAAAGACTATCATGGTGCAATTATTATTGGGTGCACCTCTACAAGAGAAATTGACAGTTCAAATCCACTCTGAATGGTCTTGTTTTCGGCACACAATATATATATATATA